GGGGGGGGGTACCGGGGATCGAACTCTGGTCTTTGTGCTTGCGATGCGATGCAGGCGGCGGAATCACTGAACTGAATCACTGAGCTAAATCCCCGGCCCGCAAGTATTATTTTAAATTTTAAAATCCCTTCCACCAGTTTTTGTCCTGCTTCACTTCTTACAGTTAAACACACCCTCACACACATACACAAGAAGCACACACGCACAAATCATACTGAAGAGAATAGCTATATATTGTTAGTCTGAAAATGTAATTTAATGTCCAGAAGGAACAGTCCCAAATCCTAATGTCCATGAGTACATATAACTAGATGTGGAAGACACGCTAAAATTCCTTGATGAAACTTTGTTCCTTTAACAAGACATGAGGGCCAGGGATTTAGCTCAGTGGTTCCAGCTCCTGCTGCGCAAGCACAAGGTCCTGAGTTCGATCCCCTGTACCAAAAAAAAAAAAAAGACATGAAAATTCCAAGCATATGGATGAATTATTTTTTCTTCTATCATTCACAAAAACAAAAAAGAGGGAAAGAGACATCCCAGTGTAGTAGGTGTCCATCTGTCAGGATATATTAAACCAGGCAGAGACTTTCCATTTCAAAATAATTTCTTAGTATTCTTGGCTTGGCACTTTTGTGAAATATTTATAGAAAATATACATTTAAAAAAGTAATAAAAGCAGAAAATACACCAATTCAAGCAAAACTGAACAACCTCTATTCTCTCTTTTGAACAAGGTGGTCTACATTACCCTTTCCATTTAAAAAAAAACCTGAAAATTTGGAGTTGAAGTAAAACAATCATGGTGTGCCAGATGGAGCTACAAATGTAGCTTTGTGTCATCAGGAGTCAAAGTGTGAGTGGTGTTTGGTTTGGGCTTGCTAAATGGATACTAGATCTTTAATTCCCATTTATGAACTCCCTAGGTTCATAAAATAGGCCAAAGAATAGTCTTTCCTATAGTTTCCTATAGTTCCTATAGTTACGGCACTCGGAGGGCAGGCAGACCAAGGAAGAGAAATGGCACTCAAGAGAATTGAAAGGCAGGTTTATTCGCTAGCAAGCTCAGTGGAAGTCACCTTCCAGAGTCTGAGTCCCAATTCTAAGTTTGTTTTTATTTTTATATTGCTCTTCATGCAGGGCAGGGAAGCAAGCAGAATTTTACAGAAGCAGAACTTAGCACAGGGATAGGAAGGTACAGGCAGATGTTACTTTTACAGTTTATCTTTTTTTTTTTTTTTGTACTGGGGATCGAACTCGGGTCTTTGCGCTTGCATAGCAGGCGGTGAAACCACGGAGCTAAATCCCCAGCCCTTTTACAGTTTATCTTTAAGACATAGGGAAGTATAGGCAAGTGTTTCAGCAGGTCATCTCTCAGGAAGTGACCTTTGTGAGTTTAGCAGGAGAGGCAAGTCTTGAGACCATCAGTCTCTGTCAAGCTTCAAGACTGTTAGTCTTTGCTTTGTCTTTTGTTTTCTTCATTTCACTATGTTTATTTTTCAGAGTAACCTACCATACATTTCTCAAGAATGGTCTGCAAATCCCTTGCATCAGAATCATCAGAGGAACTTTTTCAAATAAAGATTCAAAACAAACAAACAAAAAAACCAAAACAAAGATTCTATGCCTAGCATGTTCAGGGCTCTGGTTCCATCCCCAATACCACAGGGAGATTTTTTTAAAAAGAGGGAAGAAACAGAACAGGAAAAAGGAAAAAAAAAGATTCCAGGGATATGGGATATGTGCCATATATGTACCATACAATGTACCAGATGTACTGATTTAAAATCTCTGGTAGTTGGGGCCCAGGAATCTTCATTTTACTCCCCATTGGCCCCGGTACTGAGTATTCAACCCAGGGCCTCATTCTTTCTAGGTAGGAATCTGCATTTTAAAGGCCGGGGGAATTAGCTCAGTGGTTTTGCTGCCTGCTGCGCAAGTACAAGGACCTGAGTTCGACACCCCCCCCCCAGCCCCATACCAAAAAAAAAGATCAAACCAGTTTGAGTCTGGTAGCACATGGCTGTGACATTAGAGACAGCTAAGTTAGATAGAAATATTACATACAGGCAGTCAAACAGGAGTAGACACTTGAGGGAGTTAATGTAGATAATGAAAACACATTATAACTGTGGCCGGAGGCTCATCTGTTGAAGTCCAGGCCTCAAGATAAAGACAGAATGACCAGACCTATATACCTCCCCAAAGGATAAGATTAGTGGTATCACCTGGTCCAATAAAGTCTAGATAGACATCAGTCACCCAGGCAAGACCAAGACCTCTTGATCTACCCCTTTCTAAAAAGGTCTTTGTTTTTTTCTACATACACTTGTTACATGTCCTGCTTCCCCATTGGATCAATATTAACTAAATCTTATTGATTGATCATAGTTTTTTGTTTTTGTTTTTGGTACCAGGGATAGAACTCAGGACCTTGAGCTTTCAAGGCAGGCACGTCGCCACTGAGCTAAATCCCCAGCCTGGTTGGTCATCGTAACATAGGGGGAATAGATGCAACTTCCAAACCTGCTAGATATCCGAAACTCAAGTTCGTGTTCTTTAAAATCAAAAACTGAATTCTAGGAAAACAGAAGTTAAGAGTAGGAAAATTTATTGAGAGTAGAAAATTTATTAGAAGGGGACCAGAAAGTGGGTTGCCTGCTCACCCAACGTCTCACAGGTGTTTTATGAGACAAAGCCAGGAGGTGAGGCAGGTTCAAGGTGGGACAAAACTATAGTCAACTAGTGAGATTTCAAGTACAGTCACTTAGGTAATATTGATCCAATGAGAAATTAGAAGGTGGACAAAACTATGAACAACCAATAAGATTATGACAAGTATAGTCACTTAGCTAATATTGATTAAGTGGGGATCCAATGGGGAAACAAGTCACGTAGCAAGCATACAAGGAATGAGCAAGGATTTTCGGTGGTAATGTGTGGTCAGGGATCTTTCTTGGAAGATCTTGGTCCCTCACCCAGGTGATTGATACCTATTTAGGATATCGATCACTGCTATTCATGGTATGCAGGTGTGGTAGTTTCTCTTCTTTTACAATGCTGGCTTTCAGTGAATGTGTCTTGATTGTCCTCCATGTTGGCTCCTCATGTGCTGGCCCTGTTTAACTGCCTAGAAGATATCTAATTAACTAATTAACTATCTACAGTAATAGTTTTCTTTTTGTTTTTTTTTTGTTTTTGTACTGGAGATCAAACTTGGTTCCTAGGGCAGGGGATTTAGCTCAGTGGTTCCACCACCTGCCTGGCAAGCACAAGGACCTGAGTTCAATCCCCGGTACCAAAAAAAATAGTAATGGTTTTGGCCCATATTGTACCTACCTCGTGATTTTGCGCTATAAAACTTCTTTTGAGAAGTGGGCTCATTGGCAACCCACTTTTGGGTCCCCTTCTGTTTCTCAGGAGCTATCTCAAAATTTTTCCAACCTCTGTTGTTCCTTAAAATTCATTCTTCCATTTTGGGGAACAGGAACTTGGCGTATCTGACATCTAGCAGGTTGACAGTTATATTATTTCCTCTATATAAATATCAGCACTGGAAAGGCTGAGACTGGAGGATGGTGAGCTCTAGGCCAGCCTGGGATAAATAGCAAGTTCCAAACTAACCTAGCTACATAGCAAGACCATGTCTCAAAAAATAACAAAAAATAAAAACAGGTGTTTTTTTACAGACACCAACGTTTGAAATAGACTTCGTGACACTGGCCTTTAAACTACACCATGCCTTAGTTTTCCCTTTCCGCACCCAAAAACAAGAATTACTTGCCAGTTAGTACTTGGTATTACTGGCTGGCAGGATTGAGATATGGCCGCTTAGAGGTTATGGAGAACTCGCCCTGAATCGTTTTTTGTTTTTGTTTTTGTTTTTGTCTCTTCATTCTTGGTGAATTCTAAATTCGATTTTGGAAGAGAGAGAGGGAGAGCTTGTGGATTCAAAGACTAGCTCCTGCAGATTCCAAAGAACTCAAGAATACAGGATTTTGGGGGCGCGTTCGGGTAATAATGTCTCCAGCCAGCCGCCGTCATCGGTCTAGTGACGCAACAGAACGTTTTTCGGCCCCCTATTACCTTACTGTCAAGATGGCGGTCCCCAGGAGCTGTGTTCTAAGGACCTATTGCGGGCGTAGCTGGTTGCGGTTGATGCGAACTGGCGGGCCCCAGTGGCTTCATAGTTCCTTGCCCGGGGGCTTGCTGGGTGCGCGGCTCTTGTCCCAAGAGAAGCAAGCAACAGAAACGCACTTCGGGTTTGAGACTGTGTCGGAGGAGGAGAAGGGGGGCAAAGGTGAAAGGGGCGAGAGGGCGGATGAAGGGATCTTTCCATCTGTGAATCTTCTGCAAATTTGACGTCCTTTGCTGTTAACTGCAGTCCAGACTTCCCGGAGCACCATCCCTCCGTCCGGCAAAGTTAGGCGCTCCATCTTACTTCCTCCCAACCCTGGAACTGGGGATTGAATCCAGGGCCTTCCCATGAGCTACAGTCCCCCACCTTTTAAAGTTTGCAGACAGGCTCTTGCTTAAATCACGAAGTTGCTCAGGCGATGCTGGAACTTTAGATCCTCTGGCTTCAGGAATGCGCCACCACGCCTGACTACGCCCCTTTTTATTTATTTATTTATTTTTTGGTACCAGGGATCGAACTCGGGTCCTTACGCTTTCGAGGCAGACGGCGGAACCACTGAGCTAAATCCCCGGCCCTTTATTTTTATTTTTGTACGCCCCCTTTTAATCTTTTTTTTGTACGGGGGATCCAACACAGGACCTTGCGCTTGCTAGGCAGGCGCGGTGCCATTGAGCTAAATCCTCGGCCCCTACGCCCCCCCC